GATTCTCAGTAAAAACTTTCCCTATTGAAAATCTATTAAACATTGATTGTCAATCTAAAAAAAATAATTGGCAGAATATAGAATTACCAAGCAGGACAGAAAAGAGCAGTGGATTGGTGCGTAAGATTCATATGCTATATACATGACTTTCTGTTCACATACCACCATATACACTTGAGTATAAGAAAGTCATTGTCTGCTGTATCATGACAGAAATAAAAAGGGAGAATCTTACTTTAGATAAACAAAGAGACCTGAAGGTGATCTGTTAAACCTTACAAACATTGGGGGTTTCTGGGTGGGTGGGGGATGGGGTAAGGGGACAACATAGGAAATGTAAATAAAACATCCAATAAAAAAAGAAAACAAAAAAAAAGAAGAAGAAGGAAAAAAAAGAAAACCAAGACCGCTTTTACTGAGTCAAAAAAAATGAATATAAGATGGAAAAAAAATAAATGTTCCAACAGCCCTTATCAGCTCTAATTCCTAGTCACAGAAATGAGTTCTCGAGTAGAGAACCCAGGCTATGTTGCTCTGAGTTGCCCACTCCAGGATAAGTGAGCAGAGCTGGGCAAGAACGTGGAATGTGACAATGTGATAAAAATCTATGTGCTTTTTTTCATTTTTTAAATGGAACCTAGAAATCTCAACATATGCATCCATTTATTCATTGATATAAAAATCTAGTTTTAAAATACTCTCTCTACTTTAAACCAATCCCAGCTAATTACAGAATGGCTCATCTGTATGTAGTCTTCAAATGACTAGTTTCACCACTCAAGTTTAAATAATATAAAACCCAAAGGACACAAATACCAGATTGAAGATAGGCACCATGTGCTTTCTCCCTACCCCTGCCTTGCTGTCTGTCTTCCTTTGCCCCTGCTGCCCATATTCATTGTCAGGGTCAGTCCACTTTAGCTTCCCTACAAATGTGTCTGCATCTTTTATGTCAGTCTCACCCTTTCTGTTTTCTTAACAACCAAACCATCTTTTATGTGCTCAGAGTGCTTACGTGTTGGCTGTGCAGACCTGTGATCGGTTTCTCTCTGTTAGTGAACTGGCTGCTGCAGGAGTGCATGCAAGGCTGTCCTGTTCTTCCTTGCTGCACCTGTTTGCTGTTAGGTTACGTTTCCCTCTTCGTGCTTGCTCTGCGATAGTTGCCAGCTTGATTCTTGCTTAGTCTGGTACTTGTGACCTTAGAGCTCTTTAGAAGCACATAAAACTTTCAGGAATAAGTCATTTCCTCTATCCGTGCTCATCTTCTGCCCAGCCTTGACACACCCAGCTGAGATCATCTCTTGTGGCATTCATCTTGCACCGGAGTCTTCATAAACACACAAAGAGAGCAGACACAGTTCCATAAGTCTCATTCTACACAGTTGGACTCTTAGCTTGCAGTCTACTGCATGCCTTGACCAGGCTCTGTTTCATGGGCTTTTTCTTTTTCTATCACTGATAATTGAAATGCTATGCTTTTAAGTTGATCTACTTTACAATTTGGAATATGTCTACACAGTGTAGTGACAAATGTATGCGCTGTCTCCTGCAGTCTCATCCTCAGTCTTTATGTGTGGTTAGGAAGTCTTAAAGTTCACCCCCTCAACAAATTTTAAACGTACAATACAATGTTGCTAGTTGGTGTTACAGTACTATATATTATATATGTATATACTGATTCCCACTCACATACATGCATATGCACACAGACATATCCATACACACATAACCACATATGTATGGTGAGATGCTAATACAGCATCTCCATCCCATGCAACCTAATCAGATTCTTCTCCTTTTAGCTATATTTCCATGCCCACTCCCATTTTGGATATATATATATATATATATATATATATATATATATATATATATCCCATAATGCTCATTTTGAAAAGGTATCTGTATTTCCATGTCCATTTTAACATTTGTTACAATAGTCCAGATATGGAAGGTAACATAAATGTTTCCTGATCATTGAAAGCATAAAGAAAATGTATAAATTATATGAAATATTCTCTAGCCTTAACAATGAAAGATGTTCTGCTGTTTGTAACAACATGGGTGAAACTGACAGAGATGCTCAGCAAAGAGCCGGACATTGAAAGAAAGATGCCACATAGGCTCACTAATATGATGCACCTGTCACGTTTTAGGTAACTATACTGCAACCATTTACATAAATGCAGCTACCACTCAGCCCCTGTTGTATATGTACAGTACTCTGTATTTATTGAGATACAGAGTCAATGCTTCTTTCAGTAAAATGTCCCTCTATCCATTATACAGCTACTCTGTGAGCAGCTATTTTAGGCTTTCGCATTAGAAAATTTTAATACAGAATGAGCCAACACAGGGTTATGTGGAACTGGGGTGCCCTCTACTGTTTTCCAGACTTAAAGCTACAGTGTTAAATTTCACTCAACAAAAGGAGAATTGCTAATGAACTAATAGGAATATGGCCAATAGATCATTATTAACGAGGACAAACACTGCATTCAAAGTTACCCCAAATTTGTTGAAAGGACATCTGGAATTGAATATTTTTTGTAAGCCTTGGGTTTTTGGTCAGAACTCCTTCAGCTCCATTTATGTGGAATATCTTATAATTGTGTTGAAAATTATGTAAACATTACTGGGGAGAGTGTGACACCTCTTTATCACAGGAAGGGAGAAAGAACTTAGGCAATATGGTCACACACAAGGGTTTTGTTGGCGATGACTGGATTTGAAGGTAGTGTTGTAACCTAGGCTGACTTCAAGTTCACAGCTGTGCTCCAGCCACTCAGGGGCTGGAGTTATAGGTGTGTGCCCGTGCTCAGTTTAAATAGTTTATCATAATGTTCATTTTTATGTTTAAATGTGTTGTCATAAAGCTGATCGTCCAAAACATTGAAATGGCAAATGTAGTCTGTCAAAAGAAAAGCCTCACAGTTGATATTAATTCACGGCAAGTCAATATTCATAACTATGACAAATACAGAAGTTATCCCATTAGTACAATTTCTTTTTTGCCAAAATAGTCCTGGCAACTTTGTGTTCAGCTTTCTACTCACTAATTGTTTAAGTCTTCCTACTTGCATTATGCTGCTTAGTCAAGAGAATACCAGATGCCTTGGCATTTGTAAATCTAGAATTAACACACAATAAGTGAAAAGCATATTAAGCTAGTTATAAATTCAAATTGACTTTTAAAATTTGCATCACCATGAAGAAAAAAGTCAGACTAGTCAACTTGCAAGAAAGAAAGGTCCTTTTGGGCGGAGTCCTAGAGATTTTGTTAGTATTGCCTCTGAGTTTGTGGCTAGTTAGTTCTCTGTGGCTTGGAGTACAGGGTTCAGGAAGATGCTCACCAGGAGTAATAAGTAACAGGAACGGTTGCCCCGCCCCTATTCCCTTTCAAGGGTACACTTCTAATGGCCCAGAATCTAACACCAGTCACCACCTTCTTCAGTAGCCACACTGGCTGGTAACCAAGACTCTGGAACCTGGACCTTCATGGAGCATTCAGAATATTAACTACTGAATACTTAGGGAACTTTATCTTAGTGACACATTTTCAGAGAACTCAACAAATGGATAAATGCATGTGTTCAATTTATCCCTGGATAGAAAAGTCACTTGAATGAATATCTTTTCTTTCATGAAGAACCTCTAGACTCAGAATTATTTAAAACAACGGCTAACTGTATAGTCATGGCAAACACCGTTACAGGTGTAGAAAAGGTCATATTTATATCCCATTTCTGAAATAATTTTACAGTTTCTCATTTTGGGAAAACAAAGATTTTTGTAAAAGTACCATTAGGTATTTCGAAAAACCCTTTGTCTAACACAACTGGAGAATGGGTAGAAGCTTAGGTGAGCTTTTCTTCTGCTCAGCGCTGTTAAAGAAGGATCCAGCAGGGAAAGATAGATTTGACTGTTCTTGATGTCACTTAGAAGTCACTGAAGAGTCTGTGCCCTACAAAAATTTGCAGCACCGCAGCAAACCCTGAGGTTTCAGTTTAAGCCTTTTCTGGTGTTTTGTTTTTAGATAGGTTCACATATATACCAGTCTGGCATAGAACTCTCAGTACAGTGCACAATAACCTTGATCTTCTGCTCTGCCTCCTGGGTTCTGGGATTGCAGGCATATGCCAACCATTCGGGGATTACACAGTGCAGGGAATGGAATCCAGTGATTCCTGTACACTAAGCAAGCACTAAGCCTACTCCGGTGGAAACAACATACTGCAGTCAAGAAAAGAGCTGCCTCAGCGTCCAGTTTGTGTAGCATTTGAAAGGGCCTCTCTCTGCCCAGTGGTAATTGGTCCTGGCTGTGCTTGCCTCACAGAAACTATGCTACTGACATTGGACCAACACGTTAATCAACCACATGTGCCCGCTGAGAAGGTAATGTCTTCCTTCCAGGCCCCAGAGGGTCACCAGAAAGCCTTCCACCCACCGCCTGTGACCTACTTTTATATCTCCGACCCCATACTCTGTCTCTACACTAAGGATCCTATAGCTTGCCAAGGAACGTGTCTCCAGTAACCACCTAAACATGTTTTGCTATTGGGAAAGGGTTTCATTGTAAGATCCAGCAATAATTACTATCTGTGAATTAAATGAGGAGGGTTCTCTTGCACCAGTTTCTTTCTGAAAAGAATGGCTGGGCAAATCTAAGGTTGCTCCTCAGGACTGAGGAAGAACAGAAAGTGCTGGCTACCCTACCTGACATAAGCATCCACCTTGGTTATAGACGCTGCTAGCCCCACACCTTTCCTACTCTATCCTGAAAGGTGACTAGCGGATATTCCAGGGGGAACCGAATATACTTCCAATGCCCACAAGCAACTTCAGCAGAAACACGGTCTTCCCTGAAGCGGGTCAGGCAGTAGCCCCCAGGACTGAGCTGGGGGACAGGGGGCCGGGCATTTGGTGAGAGTCTGGCGGCCTCTACCGGGCGCCTAGGCAGAGGGACGTTCCTCAAACCCAGAGACGACATGTGGCGCTTTGGAGAGGTGAGATCGAGCGCGAGTCCGCCGGGGGCGCTGGGGGAATCTGCAGCGGGGCAGCGCGCGGCCTCAGGCGCGGCGCGGAGCAGAGCCGCAGGGCGGCAGCGGGAGCGCGGGGCTCCCGGGCTCTTCGGCGCCGAGCGCTGGGCAAGTTCGCGCCGGCAGCATGGGGCGGTGACGCCGCACCGGCCTGCCGCGCCCGCCGCAGGGACAGCGGGCGGCAGCGAAGCAGGATGCGCCCTCGCCGACGGCTCGCCAGCCGGGGCCCGTGCGTAGGGTAAGGAGCTGCGGCGGCCACTGTTGCGGGCACCCCGGCCTCAGGACTGGGATGAACGCAGAGCAGTTGGGCGCTCGCAGATCCAGTAGCGCAAACTTTGCCCGGAGACTGCGGAGGCCACCGGCACGGAGGGCATGGGATCGGGTGGCACGGCTGGACGGGGCTCCGGGCGCAGCGCCTCCCAGTTCGCGGTAGATAGCAGATAGCCTCTGCCTGTCGCCGTCGCGGAGCTCGCCCGCCTGGAAAGCGGCTCCCGCCCGGGAGCAGGGGCGCGCGGTGGGCGCGGGCCCCACTTGGTGTCGCGCGCCTGTCGCGCGGGTTGCTCGAGGCCGGGCTCTGGCTGCGCCGCCACTGCACCGCGCGCAGCAGAGGAGGAAGGCGCTGCCTGGCAAGCGCTCAGCCGGCCGGCTCGGGGGGCTAAGGAGGTATGGAGGGCTCGGCGCGAGCCTGAGGGCAGGACCACCAGAGGTGTCCGGTGGCGCTGCGGAGCGGCAGCAGGTGCGGGGTGGCGGAGGCTGCGTCTCCGCAGTGCCACCCCTTATCCCACCTGCGCTGTGCGCCAGCACTGGTGAGCTCCCACCGGGATCTGGGGGTCCTCCGGGAGAGCATTCTCGCAGTGGGGATCGGGAAGTAGGGGGCTCAGGGGCAGTAGAAGGCACCGCCCGGGTTTCCCCGCATGCGGCGCCGCGTGCTCGCCGCCTAGACTATCCAGGCTACCGGCTCCGAGCCCTAAGATTCGCCCAGGCGACCACCGCATGCCAGCCTTCTATTCTTGAAGAGAATCTCAGAGGGCCTTCTCCTCCGAGATGGAAGTACCTGTTGTGTGCTTTTTCAGTTCTGGACTTTGGAGCTTGGGGGAGGGGGTCTCCTTAGAAATGTGTTTCTTTTTGAACTCTGGCTTGCTAGTGTACATTGAGCATCTATTTGCGTTATGCGCATGTTGAGATGTTGTGTGCCTTCTCTAAGGTTGTTGCTGGCCCAGCGGCAGTGCTTGCTTGGATTTCCACTGCACTAAGCAGAGTCTAGCTAAGGACAGAGATATTTTCCAAGTGTTGTGGTTATTAAGCTATGTAGTCCTGGGGGCAGGATGCCAACCCAGAAAGTCTGACCCTCACCAGCAAGTCTACCGTTGCGATCCTATAGAAGATGTGTTTCTGACATGTGCCTTTCCCCCCTCTTCCCACACACTTTCAGCACCTTGCAGAACAAGAAGCAGCTTGCTGGCTTTGAACGTGTGGCAAATATTTCAGAAAGGTAAATTTATCTCACTTGTGGATTTGATAGATGCAAAATGCAATTGTCAGATAACTTTGAGATAACTACGTTAATAATTGGGTCATTTATATCCTGCTGAAACAGTAGAATATTAAGGGATGCAAGCAGCCTATTAGAACAACTGTACACTCTGTAAAAGTGAAATAAAGCTGTACTGTCACCTTTTTACACCACCTTGCCGCCCAGAGAAGGTGGTGCAAACTGTGCTGGCACAGTCTGTTGGTAACAAGGGCCAGGCTCCAGTCTTTGTCAGCTTCGCTGTGGCAGCAGCATGGTTGGATTCACTGTAGTGACGTGAACATCCGTGTTCATGGGCTTCTCCCTTTTGTGTACTTTCAGCTTCAAGATCAAGTTGGAGGAAAGAACAGTTTTTCTTCCAAATTCATCTACTTCAACTACTATTCTTACTGGGAATGGACAATGGAATGCTGTCTAGATTTATCATGACCCAAACCCTCCTTGTCTTCTGTATTTCCATGACCTTATCCAGTCACTTTGGGTAAGTTGGCCCCCGTGCTTTCATTTTGTGGTCTTTGGGGGCCTGTGCCATTGTGAAGCCCTGCAGAATAGGACAGCCCTTGGCTGCCACCTCTGCAGTCCTGCACCCTTCGGTTTGTGGTGAATATGTCCCGATCCATGCTTTCTTCCTGAACAGAGCAGTTCCTGGTGAAGGGTCTTGGAAATGAGTTAGACAAAAGAAAAGAGGGTTTTCCAAGTGTAAGCAGAAGATGGCTTAAGGGAAGCTGTTTCCTCCTACTCAGGTTGGAAGAGATTCAGAAGTTCATGTGTGTTAAGGACATCTTCTGCTGTTAGACAAGTGTGTCACACTTTGATTCTCTCCTTGAGCCCATTGTGCCACTGATTTTTATTTTCAAGTCAGGCTAGTGCTGTACATGTGTCATGGGAAGGGATCCATAATAGTCCTGGCCAGAGACAAGTACAGAAATCATAAACTAGGCTTGGCTTACCCCCTGAGGTTCTAGAAATGTCGTTTCCCCTGACCTCTTTCACTTGTGCCTTTAGCTTCTCTGTACAGATACTAGCCTTTTCTTGCCACACTAGTCATACCTCACATTCAAGATGCATGCTGTTAGAAGGCAATCAGTGTTCCTCTTCTCTCCTGTGCCCCTCACTGCCCCAAATTGTCCTGGCTAATCAAAAGGATTGCAGGTTGAAGTACTCCCACTGAACAGAGTGTGCTGCTTGACTTCCTGTTTACCAGTGTTTTTTTCCCAAGGGAACAATTGGTATACTTAAAAGGACTGCAGCGCACAGTCACCTGTTTCCTTTCGTATGGCTAGTGTACAGGCTACTAGGCAGGTGTTCACAGGTCCACTCTGCTGAACAAAATTTCCATGAGGGCTCGGGCTTGTGCCTGAGTCAGTTTAGATGTATTCTGATGATCTGAGAAAGTGTTGTCAGTCTGTTTTCCCTATCTCCTCTTGTCACCTCTCTTACCTCTCTCATCTTTCTTTCTTCTTTCCTCTCCTCAGTTGCCTCATCTTTCTCATATCTATCTCTGTTGCCTCTATATGTCTAGCTCTGTCTGTCTCTGTCTCTTTCCTCTCACCTTCTTCTTGTTCTTCATCTCTCTTCCTCTGTTCAAATTGGAAGGGTCAGAAAGGCAGAGAATGTCGAGAACACAGGCAGAAAATGTCATTCCCCTGCAAGGACATCTTTTCATGCCAGGGAAACAGGGTATCTTTGTGGACTGTTTCCTAGCTCTGTGCATCCTCTGTCCATTTATCATTTGCAAACATGCAGAATATGCTCTAGAGTCCATTTTTGTTTTTCAGGTCAAATGCTTGGGAACTTTGGTTCTGAAACTGAGTAGCATAACTCTATCTAGCAGGTTATACTTTTCATTGGTTTTAAGACACACCATAAAAGATGTGAGTCCCTATTTATTGGAAGCTATTCTTGCCTTGCTTATACTCGGAGAATGTGTTCCCCATCCCTGGCCTTTTGATTCTCAATCTACTATATGAGGTTTTTTTTCTTGCATGTTTTTTTTTTCTTTGTTAAATCCTATAGATTGTACTTTGTCCATTGCTTTTCTGAATGGAAGGTGCATGTGAATGAAATCTCATGAATATTCACCATTGCAAATTAATACATTAAAATAGTTGGCTTGTTTTCTGATATTCTATGTATACTGGGAGAGATTTTAGAAGTGATGCCCATGCTGAGCTGCGCTATCTTGGTAACATTCGGTTTGTAGGATTTAGCACAAAAATCCTGATTGTAAATAGATTAAGTCAGGAAAAGCTATCACACTTCCTGGTAGATGCATGTCTGAAGTAGAAAGGTATGTGCATGAGTTTAGTTAGTTTCTTATTTGTGTGGCTTTATAAGGTCTTCTAGAAAAGCAGATTAAGCTTGTAAGTTTCTGGAAGAAAATTCTGATTAAGTCTGCAGATAGTCCTCAATCTCTCAAAAGCATTAACTGTTGGAGAAGATACTAGTTTTTTAGAAGGGAAGATTTTCATTGTTTTAGAAAACCATTATAAAATAATACATACAAATTGCAGGAAATGTGTGAGGTGAAGACTAGTTTATGAACTGGTACAAAGTCCCAGGTGATCATCCTTCCCCTTCTGGTTCCTACTGCTTCCTCTTGTATGCAGTGTATGCATTTGGGATTTACTGCATATTCAGCTTTTTGACGGTTTTGTTCCCTAACCTTCCACAATTACAAATTCTTTAGGCTGTGTGATTTTAAACTGGATAGATATTGTACCAGAGCAAAAGTGGGCTGACACTAGCTACTTCCCTACTTTGGGACGTTTACATCATTTCTGATTTTCCCGCTCTAGATTCTTTTGTATAGAACACATTCGGTTTGGAATTTTTTTTTTTTAACTATTTGAACTTGTTTCTATTAGAAGATGCACAGACTGGTCCAAACATATATAGCAAAGTACTGCCTGGTCTGGCCTCAGTGGGAGAAGATAGGCCTAATCCTCTAGAGATTTGAGGCCCATCTAGAAGCAATCTAGAAGGGGGACATCCTCTCAGAGGCAAGAAGGAGGGGAAATAGGACAAGGAACTGGGGAGAGGGGCTTGGCAGTGGGGAGCAATGGGTGGAATGTAAATAAATAAAATAATTAATAAAAAAGAAGATATTCCTACAAATGGGATTATATGCTGTGAAGCCAAGCAGTGCACAGTACACACGGAACACATCATAAGATATATCAATCCCCCACTTATTTCTTCTTTTTCTTTCTTTCTTTTTATTTATCCTTTAATCTTTTTTATAGTCCAGACTTTTATCTCCCCTCCAGTCTACTCTCTGATTGTTCCACATCCCACACCTCCTTCCCCACACCTCTGTCTCCAAAAGGTTGTCCCCCCACTTCCACCCCACCAGACCTCCCCACTCCCTAGGGCCTCACGTTTTTTGAGGGCTAGGTGCATCTTCTCTGACTGAGTCCAGCAAGCTCCTGCTGGGTTTTCTCATTCTATACTGCTCTGTGTCATTTTGCTTGGTTTCGCTCTGTGCTTTTTTTTTTTCCCCCTCTGACTACAGTTTTGGAATATGTCAAAGCAATCTAGAAGCTGAGGGATGTGGCCCTGAAATGTATTGTCCATTTTGGGCTCTAAAAAGAGTTTTCTGTACTCTGAAACTGGGGAAGGGAACAGGTTGAGCAAATTCTCTGTCCCATCCTCCCTCCGCCAAAGAAAGGATTTCTGTGATTGAGCTTCAAAGGACATTGCAAGGGGAAGTTACAAAGGTCCCAGTTTGATCACTACTTAGTCAGAGAACTACTGATGCTCCTAAGTTTGCCCAGGAGACTTGAGAGCTGGCAGGAGTTAGGAGTTCTATGCAAAATCAGGCAGGGGAGCAAGAGAGAGACAACATATAAGGTTCTGCACAGGTACAAGTTGACACACCACATTTGTAAAAATCTGCACATTCAGCAACAGAAGAGGGAAGTATATTTGGTGATTACATAAGATAGTTAATGCAAACTTGCTTTGAAAATATCAAGAGAATTATTTGCTTTTCTCCACATCTTTTTCTAAATTTAATCACCAAGAGTTCATTTTCAATAGTTTTCTAATTTTATTGTACATTGTGAACTATAGCTCAAGGCATGAGTCAAGCATACAACTGAACCAAGACCTTACAGTCAGCCTCTGCCATGGTCTATCTGGATACATGGAATTGTTTAAGCCATTATAGTTATTTTAATGAAACCAGCAATCTAAATAGCAGAGTGTAGAAAAACTAGCACTGAAACATTATGGGAATCGAAGTGTTACCAAATTATATAATGATAAGTTTAAACTAGAATTAATTTATCAACTTTCAAAATCATACTTTATCAGACTTGAGAAGCCAGTGACAATTAATTGCAAGGGACATTTGAGGATTATCAGCTCAATAGGTAATGCCAGATCCCATTCACTTACTGGAAATTAGCATAGAGATTTGTTTATTGATAGGAAAATTGTATTTTAATTTTATTACAGGGGAAATGCAACTCAGATACATGTTGGAAAACAATATGTTTAAATTGACAATGAAAAGCAAGCACTTGAAAACAGGAAGAAAGATCTTCTCTGTGTACATATGTGCTAGCTTGGCCTTTTGTCCCACAAAGAGGGACCTCTTCATCCTCCTTCTCAAAGCCAGTTGCCTCCCTAACTGGACCAGTAGGCATGTCTAAATTATACCTGTGTTCATCATATCTTCTGAAGCTGGAAGCTGTCTTACATACCCTCAGATAATAGATTCATCCTCCACAGCTGCAAGTTTCTGAGGCTCAGGACATATAGTTTAATGATTATAAAAGCACCATAGCAGTGCAGTCAAACCAGTTAGCAGGGACAGACCTGAACTGATGGTTCTGCCTGGAAGCTACAGAGAGGGACAGGCAGAGATGAGGAGATGGAGTGGAGTTAGAGAGCCATCTCTTACCTTATTTTAAAAGACAGAAACAGGGACCTATTTGCAAACTTTCAACTTTATAAAGCTGACTTTAAGCATGTTTGATGGACCAGTGCTCAATAAACGGCACTCAGGACAGCAGGGATCACAGCTCTGCTAAATAGGCTGGCCCTAAGTTCCAGGATGAGTCACTAGCTGGGTTCTGGGTAGAGGTATGTGTGTGTGCATGCGTGCATGTGTGTGTGTGTGTGTGTGTGTGTGTGTGTGTGTGTGTGTGTGTGTGCAGATTGTGGGTATTTGGATTTTCATGAAGATTCAATGGTACAAAACACACATTTTAATTGGTATGTAATTCAAAGGAAAGTATTAGAATTAAAGCAAAAAAAAAAATCTTATCTCTCATAGCAGCATGAATTACCAACAGGCATATGGGTGCACTGCATGACTTTTCAGAAAGTTGTCAAAAACATGCTGTTTAATTTTCACCAAGTCCTCACTTGGTGCATAAGAAGCACTCTGGCTTTAGAACCTAGGGAATTGTGACCAATATTTGATGATGAAAGTGGTAGAATCACCCCTTGCCTCATAGATGCCTGCTAGGG